AGCCATTTAATATTATAATAATAAAAACTTGGAAGTAAAAAGATGAAGATGGGGAGAAAGTGCAGAGCACAGGAGAATGCACACCTGCAGAGGTACATGATTTGAGCAGTGAGATCTCAAATAAGCCAAGTTCACTCTACAGCAGGAAAAAGCCACAAGAGCTCATGTGCTGGTAATGTACGTGAACAGCCAAGACCAGAGTGCGGTGGCTCTTCAACTTTGCTATAGTGTAAAGGTAAAGGTTCCCTTGCCTAAAAGCCAGTCGAATCCGACTCTAGGGTTGCGATGCTCATCTCCGTTTCAAAGCCGAAGAGCCAGCGCTGTCCAAAGACATTTCCGTGGTCATGTGGCCGGCATGACTAAACGCCAAGGCGCACGGAACGCTGTTACCTTCCCACCGAAGTGGTACCTACTTAAAGGTAAAGGTTCCCTTCCTCGAAAGCCAGTCGAATCCGACTCTAGGGTTGCGGTGCTCATCTCCGTTTCAAAGTCGAAGAGCCAGCGCTATCCGAAGACATTTCCGTGGTCGTGGACGGCATGACTAAACACCAAGGCGCACAGAACGCTGTTACCTTCCCACCGAAGCGGTCCCTATTTATCTACTTGCAATTTCTTGCTTTCGAACTGCTAGGTTGGCAGGAGCTGGAACTAGAGACGGGAGCTCACTCTGTCATACGGCACTCGGGTCTCGAACTGCTGAACTACTGACCTTCCACAGCCTGCAGTTCAGCATCTTAACCACTTGAGTCTATTTATCTACTTTTAATTTCTTGCTTTCAAACTGCAAGGTTGGCAGGAGCTGGAACTAGAGACGGGAGCTCACTCCGTCATGCGGCACACTCGGGTCTCGAACTGCTGAACTACCGACCTTCCACAGCCTGCAGTTCAGCGTCTTAACCACTTGAGCCACCGCAGCCACTGTTATTTGCATGTTTTCTTATCTCAAGGCTACCAAGGGCCAAACTCAACATGACCGCGTCCTCACAGTTGCCATTTAAAAGTGATTTTAAAATGCCACGGGGGCCTGATCTTGAAAGGTTCCACAGGGTGGCAAGCTGAGGGGCCCGTCCCCTCCGCATGCCTTATGTAATCCTAAAACAGCCACACCCCCGTGTGGTTGCTTTGGTACTTCAAAAGATGTGTGTGGGGGAGAAAAGAGCATGCTGCAGGCACCGGGCACCCTTTTAAAATCGCTTTAAAATAGCAATGGTATCCTCGAGGCGGCCACGAGAACTCTGTCACCCATTCTAGTTTGACCCCCACCCCCAAGTGGAAGGCTGCCCAAAAGGCAAGGCATTCAGATTAAGAACTCAGCTTCTTCATACGAACGCAGCTGTGCGAGAAATGTGGATGGGTCTGCGCCATGCTCCAAACAAGTGGGGTCTCTGTCAGGCACAGGGGTCATTTCCTGCGGGAGCGCACAGGAGCAGACCTTTGGCAGTAAAGAGCCCAGGGGGCGGGCACATACAACAAGCCCCGCCCCCTGCTCCCAGCAGCCCCGGGCCACAAGGAGCATGAGGATCTGCGCCCCCCCCCCATAGCTAGCAATCCAAAACAGTTCAGTGGAGCCTGAGCGGTGGGTGTTGCCTTCTGACACACTTCCGGTGATGTCAGGGGGTGTGGCATATGCAAATAAGTGATGCTAATGAGCTCCTGCACCTCTTTTTCTACGAAATGACCCCTGGTCAGGCAAGATGCTACTAGGGTATTCTGTTGATTGACATATGTTTCAGTGCAATGGCGTCTGTGCAAATTTGGTGACGCACACCTACCCAGCAATGCTTACCCTTTCTGCCCTCAACCCCACACACTCAGTCGGCGGCTTCATTTATTTCAGCGGGCTGTGTGAAATGTGGTCTTCTTCAAGCTCCTCTTGCAAAGCAAGGGCAGATTGTCTGACCATTGTAAATTATGATCTAGACATTCCTTCTCTCAGGCAGGGCTCTTTTTGTAGGAAAAGCCCAGCAGGAACTCATTAGCATAATAAGCCATACCTAACAGCAGAAACTCATTAGCATATTAGGCCACACCACAGATAGTACAGCTCATTAGCCTATGAGGCCACACACCCCATGTTACCAGAAGTGTGGTCATCCAGCCACACCCACCTTTTGCTTCTTATTCTGTTTACTTTGTTGTCCAAACCCAGGGGTTTTTTTTGGTAGCAGGAACTCCTTTGCATGTTAGGCCACACACCCCTAATGTAGCCAATCCTAATGAGTTTCTGCTGCTGGGTGTGGCCTATTATGCTAATGAGTTCATGCTGGGCGTGGCCAACTCAGGAGCCAGCCAGAACTCCATTCCTGTGCGTTCCTGCCCCAAAATAGCCCTGCTTCTCTGATTAACAGGGCCCTGCAAATAGCCTCCCCAGTTTCTGGTGTGGCTCAGTGGGACTAGGACCTGGGGTGACTGGGTCTGAATCCCTTGCTCAGCCATGGAAGCCTGCCAGGTGGGCTTGGATCCGTCACGGTCTCTCAGCCTAACCTACCCTCACAGAGTGGTTGTAAGGATCAAGTGGAGGAGGGGAGAACAATGCAAAAAGCCACTTTAGGACCCAGATCAGGGAGGAAAATAATAAATGTGCACATTATTCCCCTGCTCTCCACCCCTCACAAGTGGCAGCCAATGAAATAAGGTGGGGATAAAGACATGCTGAATGCAGTGGAGTGTAGTTGAGCCCTGAGAGTCATTCTGCCTACAGAAGTGGGAAAAGGTACAAGTTGGGGCTCTACCTACAGTTAACGGAGCCTGTTACTTGGAGAATTATAGCCATATGTTGTCGAAGGCTTCCACGGCCGGAGTTCACTAGTTGCTGTAGATTTTCCGGGTTGTGTGGCCGTGGTCTTGGCACTGTGGAGCCTGACGTTTCGCCAGTAACTGTGACTGGCATCCTCAGAGGTATCACACAGAAAGATGGAGTACTCTCTGTGTCAAGGTGAGAAGGAAATGGTAGG